CTTATATCATACACAGGATATCATAACTTATATCATACACAGGATATCATAACTTATATCATACACAGGATACCATAACTTATATCATACACAGGATATCAAAACTTATATCATACACAGGATACCATAACTTATATCATACAATATCATACTCAGGATATCATAACTTATATCATACACAGGATACCATAATTTATATCATACACAGGATATCATAACTTATATCATACACAGGATATCATAACTTATATCATACACTGACTAGATAATTCACCTCAGGATATTTTTTATTCAATATTTTCTCAAATGACACATATAAACAAAAATGATAAAACACAACAGCTAGTGAGTAACAAAGTATTATAAGTTTTACATAATAAACTGTTTATACAATAAGATAAAATATATATTTTTACTTATATGATATAAGTTTGAATTAGAATAAATCACACACGATAATTGAGCAATGTCTTTACAAACATAGACTGGTTACATAGTAACAAATTGTTTCATATATGCCTGTATCTGTTGGAGTCCTTCCGTCTGAAATAAGAGCATTATATATATATTTGAGCATTCAGAACACATTAACGTTAGTTAGAGAGGATCCTGGCCCCACTTGTATAAAATATCTCAACTTGAGATTTCCTCAAACCCAGATTTTCCTCAGCTAATATCTCCTTGAAAATATCTTGTATGAAAATTCCTCAAGGAATTTCAGGACATCCTAGCCGAGGACTTCCTTCTGTTCCTTAAGAAAATTTTATACAAGCCGTTTTTGAGGAGATATCAGCAGAGGAAAATCTCGACTTGAGGAAATCTTAAGTTGAGATGTTTTATACAAGTGGGGCCTGATCACTACACATGCAAGAAAACGTAAGATCTGCAGTAATGCATTATCGTACCTATACCGGTGTTTCCTCGGAAATTTCCAATTGTTTTGGAAAGTCTGAAACCTCCAAAGTGAACAACTTATAGAGATGTTCATTTGCGGCGTTTCTCCATCATCAAAGTTCCTTTTTCCACGTGTTTCTTGCTTTTCCCTCTATCGATAACACATCCTTATCAAGATACATCTATATGTAGGATCGAAGCGACACGAATGCCCAAGCCGGCAACTAAGGAGCTGTTTCAAACTTTCTATTGTTTTGTTAAGTCACGACTATGGTTAAGATTCTGAAATAAAATTTAAGCTCTGCCTACAGATTTCATTTATTTTATATAGGACCAAGGCAACGATCTCAATTTTTGGTATTACCACTTTTGCGAAGATTTTATTTAAAATCCTTAAATGGCCATACTACTGGGAAAGTAAATTTATCATAACGGAATCATAACAAAACCTGGGTATTATTATACAACTAATCTGTAACCGTGTGAGAGTAAGTGACCGGAAACGAAATAAATTGTCGAGGGCTAAAATATTATTGGTTGATATTCAATCTGATTTCTATTCGTATTTGCCATGATACAGAATTTTTTTGTGGATTCATATGGAAAAGTTCTATTTAAAATCAATATCAGTGTTTATGTCATCCTTACATATTATGACACCATCAAGCCGTAATGTTTACTAAATCAATTTCTCTGTTTATAATAAATAAAAAAAAATATACGACAATAGGTGTAATTAGCCATTGTAATAATTCGATTAACAAAGGCACTGTGGTTATATGATATAGCTATGTATGACAATAATGTATAACTTAGACCTCGTCATACAGGTTCGTCCGCTGACAATGGAGTATGACAATGACCGTATGCCTCTTCTTCTCACAATGGTGTGCGTGCATACGACATTTTGTAGCTTCTTAAGACAAATGGACGAGACAAACACCTGATGTAGCTTCCTCTGACAATGGAGTGTGCCTAAAATTTTACGTAACTTCCGTCAATGGGGCATGCCATTGACCTCCTGTGGCTATTCCTTTGACAATAAGGTGGGGCTTTGGAGATTGTTATGACAATGAGGAATGACTAAGACCTCAGGTAGCATCTTCTGACGGTGGGGCGTGACTAGGGCCTGCTTTATCTGGGGCGTGACTAAGATCTCCTGAGAATGGGGCCTGACTATGACCTAATTTATCTTTCTCCTACCATGCGGCGTGGCTAATACCGTATATACTCCACTTACGTAGCGTCCTGCAACAATGGTGCACGACTAGGACCGCATGTACCATATTTTGACATGTGGGTGTATCATTAGGCTAGTACTGTATACATCATCCTCTTACCATGGGGTCGACAATTACCTCATGTAATTTCCTCTGACCAGTCTGACGTAACTAGCACCGTACACTGTTTCCTCTGACCAGTCTGGCGTAACTAGCACCGTACACAGTTTCCTCTGACCAGTCTGGCGTAACTAGCACCGTACACAGTTTCCTCTGACCAGACTGGCGTAACTAGCACCGTACACAGTTTCCTCTGACCAGTCTGGCGTAACTAGCACCATACACAGTTTCCTCTGACGATGTGTCGCTACTCCCGCTGACTTTCGGGCATAATACGGATCTTCTACAGCTTCTCCTGATGACGTTGCAGTACAAGGACCTAATACAGCTTCTCCTGATGACGTTACATTACAAGGACCTAATACAGCTTCTCCTGATGACGTTGCTGTACAAGGACCTTATACAGCTTCTGCTGATGACGTTGCAGTACAAGGACCTTATACAGCTTCTCCTGATGACGTTGCTGTACAAGGACCTTATACAGCTTCTCCTGATGACGTTGCTGTACAAGGACCTAATACAGCTTCTCCTGATGACGTTGCTGTACAAGGACCTTATACAGCTTCTCCTGATGACGTTGCAGTACAAGGACCTAATACAGCTTCTCCTGATGACGTTACATTACAAGGTGCAGCTTCTCCTGACACAAGGACCTTATACAGCTTCTGCTGATGACGTTGCAGCTTCTTCTCCTGATGACGTTGCAGTACAAGGACCTAATACAGCTTCTCCTGATGACGTTGCAGTACAAGGACCTTATACAGCTTCTCCTGATGACGTTGCAGTACAAGGACCTTATACAGCTTCTCCTGATGACGTTGCAGTACAAGGACCTAATACAGCTATTGACAATGTGGTGTAATTAGGGTCTTAAGTAGTTTTTCTGAATCTCTGACGATAGAGCTTGACAAGAACCTCGTGTATTTTTTTCTGACGATTGGGCTTCACAATAACAGCATGTAGCTTCCTCTGACAATGAAATGTAATATGAACCTTGTTCTTCTGGCCATGGGGCATACCAGCTTTCTCTGACAATGAAATGTAATATGGGCCTTGTTCTTCTGTCCATGGGGCACACCAGCTTTCTCTGACAATGAAATGTAATATGGACCTTGTTCTTCTGGTCATGGGGCATACCAGCTTCCTCTGACAATGAAATGTAATATGGGCCTTGTTCTTCTGGCCATGGGGCACACCAGCTTTCTCTGACAATGAAATGTAATATGGGCCTTGTTCTTCTGGCCATGGGGCACACCAGCTTTCTCTGACAATGAAATGTAATATGGGCCTTGTTCTTCTGGCCATAGGGCATACCAGCTTCCTCTGACAATGAAATGTAATATGGACCTTGTTCTTCTGGCCATGGGGCATACCAGCTTCCTCTGACAATGAAATGTAATATGGGCCTTGTTCTTCTGGCCATGGGGCATACCAGCTTTCTCTGACAATGAAATGTAATATGGGCCTTGTTCTTCTGGCCATGGGGCATACCAGCTTTCTCTGACAATGAAATGTAATATGGGCCTTGTTCTTCTGGCCATGGGGCATACCAGCTTCCTCTGACAATGAAATGTAATATGGACCTTGTTCTTCTGGCCATGGGGCATACCAGCTTCCTCTGACAATGAAATGTAATATGGACCTTGTTCTTCTGGCCATGGGGCATACCAGCTTCCTCTGACAATGAAATGCGATAAAAAGAATTACGTGACTTCATGAGAAGGACCTCAGTGTGGCTTTATTGATAATGAGGTTTAGAGGACCTTGTGTATCTTCTTCTGAATGTATGATGTAACTAGGACCTGACGTAGATTTCTATGATAATCTGTTGTAATAGTGCCTTATGTAGCTTCCTGCGAGTATGGGGGTTGACAAGCACCTTATGTAGCTTTCTCTGACAATGGACCGTGACGTTCACATCTATGTACGACTAATGTGGTATCCGAGGTGGTGGATGATATGGCTTTATAACATTTTTTGTATATTTACCAAATTAGCAAAGTGGCAAAGGAACATAATTATATTGACTTTACCACATCCTATTGGTAGAGGAACCGTGCTATTTTAACATCAACTCAAATTCGATAAACATGGATGTAAATATGTTTAGTGTAGTCTGTTACATATTAACGTAGTTATCCTTGATGGGTGCTTGAGGAACTATTAGGGCGTCACGTAACATTGCTGAATCTGAAAATGAAATCAAACAAGTAATAATGACATCTAATTCTGATATAAATGTAAAATGATCATCACGATATTGATAATAACGTTTACTCTTAATCGTAAGCATGTTACCAAGGCCATTTAACCTGATCCTCTCTACTCCCTAGAATAGAATAGCATGCTGTGATGTCTATTCGACAGCGAGTTGAATGACTTTAGAAACTTGTCAAAAGATCGTGGCATGGCAGGCTATTTAAAGCTACATAGGTACAATGACATGTATTATACACCCTGTAATTATTGTTTATCACTGAGTACAAATTCTTTCATGAGTAAGGCAACTCGCACACACAAGATATGTTTCCCAGTACTGACCTGCTCCGATGTATCGTTACTGACACAGAGCGACGCTTCTTCTGTTTCCGGATATTAACGTTCTTAGCGGAAGTGTTTCCCGGAAACGTGTATTCATGCATCACGCTGCGGCGGAAGTAATCACGTTAGTGACAACAATGCTCTCTGTTTTCTCTCTAAATGACTGTAGATATGATGTTCAAGCCCTAACCTTCACAATGTACCTGCATAAGAATAAAGCAGAATGGATTATTCGTTTCAGGTAGGAAGTATGATTTTTATTTCATTCGAATCTGATATGTAATGATTATTCTTAAATAGTAAAATATTATCTAATACGATGGCTGTTGACATAAAAGGGAATGTTATAAAATTGTGAGATCATTTTTCAGACAGGTAGTTATGTTCCAGAATGCATTTGTTGTTTACAGAAGTGTATCTGTCGTGTTAAATTTGAATTACGTTAAAACCTGGTACGGTTTTATAATCGACATCAAATTACCACTGGCATCACTATAGTGCCTTGTACTTCACCAACAAAGAACTGTACATAGAGAACGAAACACAATACTTTTTATTGTACTCCCTGAAATCGTGGAATAACATTATAGCATACTTTCATCGTTCCTTTGCAGATCTTTTCGATATTGAAATTTGTCATAATGAAACTATGATAAAATGAAGAAATGTGAGAACATAAATATAGATAAATAAAAAGCATATGCTGCATATCGTGATTAACCGTGGTACATGATAAAGGAATGAGGTGAAGATGTGGGATTCTTAGAACCCTACATTCTATCTTATACCACCTAGAAATCTGACCGTGTACATATCGTCATGTGGACACAGGGGAACGTCACAGCGTTACAAAGGTACGTCTTAAAGGTGTCAAGTGGTATCCGATAAGCAATAGGTAGGAGAAGACATATACACGTCATCCATTCCAAATACATGTGAATGGAGATATGTATTGATATGAGTTTGTCAACTTTACGTTTTCAAACATCTTTTTAGATGTGAGATCATATTTGGATACATAGAGACACTGCGCCAACGCCTGTGTCGTTTGAATGCTCTCTCTGTTTATTTCATGTGTGTTGACATTATTTTGCATATCGGATTTGGAATTTTCATATTTTATATACAATATGTTTTTATATTATGGAAAGATATTTGTGACTTATTTCCAGGGCTATAATTTATTTTGTGTATTAACTACCGGTCTTTATAACAAGCCAGAACACCATCATCTCATACATTTAAGACAAAAGGAAATTAATATCGAAATCGGAAGTGAACGATTCAGTATAATAAAAAATAAACCTATATAGTACTGGTGTATATAAACAGAGGTACAATAAACCTATATAGTACTGGTGTATATAAACAGGGGTACAATAAACCTATATAGTCCTGGTATATATAAACAGAGGTAGTAGTACAATAATACTACTATATATTAACACAGGGTAGTACTACAATGTGGTACATCTACAGTACTACAATGTGGTACCTCTACAGTACTACAATGTGATACCTCTACAGTACTACAATGTGGTACCTCTACAGTACTACAATGTGGTACCTCTACAGTACTACATTGTGTACCACAGTACCACAATGTGGTACCTCTACAGTACTACAATGTGGTACCTCTACAGTACTACAATGTGGTACCTCTACAGTACTACAATGTGGTACCTCTACAGTACTACAATGTGGTACCTCTACAGTACTACAATGTGGTACCTATACAGTACTACAATGTGGTACCTCTACAGTACTACAATGTGTTACCTCTACAGTACTACAATGTGGTACCTCTACAGTACTACAATGTGGTACCTACACAGTGTGGTACCTCTACAGTACTACAATGTGGTACCTCTACAGTAATACAATGTGTTACCTCTACAGTACTACAATGTGGTACCTCTACAGTACTACAATGTGGTACCTATACAGTACACAATGTACTACAATGTGGTACCTCTACAGTACTACAATGTGGTACCTCTACAGTATTACAATGTGGTACATCTACAGTACTACAATGTGATACCTCTACAGTACTACAATGTGTTACCTCTACAGTACTACAATGTGGTACCTCTACAGTACTACATTGTGTACCACAGTACCACAATGTGGTACCTCTACAGTACTACAATGTGGTACCTCTACACTACTACAATGTGGTACCTACATACTACTACAATGTGGTACCTCTACAGTACTACAATGTGGTACCTACAGTACTACAATGTGGTACCTCTACAGTACTACAATGTGGTACCTACAATGTCTACAGTACTACAATGTGGTACCTCCACAGTATGGTACCTATACAGTACTACAATGTGGTACCTATACAGTACTACAATGTGGTACCTCTACAGTACTACAATGTGGTACCTCTACAGTACTACAATGTGGTACCTCTACAGTACTACAATGTGGTACCTATACAGTACTACAATGTGGTACCTCTACAGTACTACAATGTGGTACCTCTACAGTACTAAAATGTGGTACCTCTACAGTACTACGACGTGGTACAGTACTACAATGTGGTACCTACAGTACTACAATGTGGTACCTCTACAGTACTACAATGTGGTACCTCTACAGTACTACAATGTGGTACCTACAGTACTACAATGTGTACTACAGTACTACAATGTGGTACCTATACTACAATGTACTACAATGTGGTACTACAATGTGGTACACTACGATGTGGTACCTATACAGTGCTACAATGTGGTACATCTACAGTACTACAATGTGTACCGCAGTACTTCAATGTGGTACCTCTACAGTACTACAATCTGTACCACAGTACTACAATGTGGTAACTATACAGTACTACAATGTGGTACCTATACAGTACTACAATGTGGTACCTCTACAGTACTACAATGTTTACCACAGTACTTCAATGTGGTCCATCTACAGTACTACAATGTGTACCACAGTACTACTATGTGGTACCTCTACAGTACTACAATGTGGTACCTATACAGTACTACAATGTGGTACCTCTACAGTACTACAATGTGGTACCTCTACAGTACTACAATGTGGTACCTCTACAGTACTACAATGTGGTACCTATACAGTACTACAATGTGGTACCTATACAGTACTACAATGTGGTACCTCTACAGTACTACAATGTGGTACCTATACAGTACTACAATGTGGTACCTCTACAGTACTACAATGTGGTACCTATACAGTACTACAATGTGGTACCTCTACAGTACTACAATGTGGTACCTCTACAGTACTACAATGTGGTACCTCTACAGTACTACAATGTGGTACCTCTACAGTACTACAATGTGGTACCTCTACACTACTACAATGTGGTACCTCTACAGTATTTCAATGTGGTACCTCTACAGTGCTAAAATGTGGTACCTCTACAGTACTACAATGTGGTACCTCTACAGTACTACAATGTGGTAGATCTACAGTACTACAATGTGGTACCTCTACAGTACTACAATGTGGTACCTCTACAGTACTACAATGTGGTAACTATACAGTACTACAATGTGGTATCTCTACAGTACTACAATGTGGTACATCTACACTACTACAATGTGGTACCTCTACAGTACTACAATGTGGTACCTATACAGTACTACAATGTGGTACCTATACAGTACTACAATGTGGTATCTATACAGTACTACAATGTGTACCACAGTACTACAATGTGGTACATCTACAGTACTACAATGTGGTACCTCTACAGTACTACAATGTGGTACCTATACAGTACTACAATGTGTTACCTCTACAGTACTACCATGTGTTACCTTTACAGTACTGTCGTTTATCAATACCCAGGGTTGTGCCCTTTAATACCTATACATTACTAGTATTGATATTATGTTGAATTCCCCGAATGATAGTAGATATTATAAGTTCATCCCTCAGATTACTGACATCGTGGATATATTTTTGATGTAGCCGTGTATAGGCGTTTTATCAGAGGAAGTACATTCTCAGCTAAGTAGTCTAGTGGAAGCTTGATAATATGGTGCAGCGTGACACGAGACTGATAACACACGAAACGTACTGATTACACACATGTACAGATAGTCAGTGTCAATACTGCTCATTCATGTATATCTTGTCTGGTGTACACGAAATCGCTCTGATTCTTTAATCTTGTTGTCATTTATTTAATAAATGATTTTATTGACGTTGTGGCCATTCGCGTAATTTGGCCATCTTATTCCTCAAATAATTAAATCCCTTGAGGTATTGATACAACCGATGTTGTTTGACTTTACTAAATCACCCCGTGCCACGACTGGTAACACTAAAGAATGACCACGTACAAGTCAGTAACATTGGTTATACCTGTATGATAAATGTATGTGTGTTTGTTATAGTGTGTTGTGTTTATATTTAACCATGTTAGGGTGTGAGCACGCCACGACGACTTGCGTAATACAGTGATATACGTACACATATATATCATATACAGCTACACAGGTAAATGTTAAAAATGAGATAAGTCTGATTTTTTTTCTTACCGTCAATGTGACGAGAGACCGATTAATGTACAACATAGATTATATATGTCAGTCTGAAATAACACATACGGTGAGGCATGCGAACATATACCTAAAAAAATTCGCGGAGACCTGTTAACTTCGCCGGTACAAGGAAGTCGATTTGATTGGTTGAAAATGTCCCAATCATATATCCGTTTTCCGGGAGCGCAATGTGTCTGTGACCTCGTCAAAATACCTGTACAGTTGAACGTTCAGCTTCCTGCTGACTGAAAGGCGTTTAGCTGTGTAAGGACTAAATCTACAACGGTAGTTTCGTTTCGTATTATGTTTTGTTGTCAACAGACATACACATAAACAAATAGTAATATCAGGAATGGAGGACATTTCTAATTGAAATATATGATGTATGATATTTCCGTAGTAGTGAACACAGCATAGGCTGATGTTGTAAAACGTGTACAATGTTTGAGTAAGCTGACAATGCTTATAGAGAGGATTATATTTATATATATATATATATACTAACGATTTTCACTATAAGATACGGATATGGGTATAGGGTTTTAAAATTTACACGGGCTTTTTGCACAATACGTCTCCTACAAACCTAACATCAAACAGGTCTTAAGTTAACAATGATTATAATCTATAGGTTTTTGTTACAAAATAAAATCTCGTTGCAGTCACAGAGGTACCACATGGCACAATACTGTCGGTGGAT